AGCTGCTCTCACAGGTCTCTCCTCTGCCCCCAGGTTGGCCGGAGATGGCGTGGGAGCCATGAACATCTGTAAGTCCTTGGCTGTGGCCCTTCTCCTGTGCTGTCTAGACCAGGCTGGGTCTGCAGGATGGCACGCTGGCCCGAGGGCCTGGCCTTGTCCGGCCCAGGAGCTTCTTCTTTCCCTTATGGGCTTTTAGCAGGTGCCCTGGAGCTCCCAGCCCATCAGGCTCAAAGGCCCAGGGAAGCAGTGCAAGAGGGCAGAGCGGGGCGTGGGGCGTCCGTGGTGCAGCCCCTGTGGCTGGCCCGGGCTCCTTCTGGGCTGGCCTGCGGAGGGTGCTGAGGAGGAGAGGCAGTGGGGAGGGAGAGTGGGGTGGAGTGAGGGATGGGCCTCGGGGGTGGGCCTCGTGCTGATGGAGCCCTCCTCCCTTTTCTCCCAGCTGTGGTGAACTCCACTGGCGGAGGCGGCAGCGGGCTGAGCTTCGGGGGGACCATGGGCAGCAATGCCCTGAGCTTCTCCAGCGGCGGCGGACCTGGTGCCTTCAGGTCCTATTCCATCAGGACCTCAGCTGCCACCCATAGGAGCATACGGAAATGAGCCGCGGTGTGCGGAGACCTGTACCCCTACCCACATGAGGACTCCCATCCCGCGCGGTGTGCGGAGACCAGCCCCCCAGTCACATGAGGACTCCCATCCCTGATACCAAGACTTCCAGGCAGTCTGAAAATGATGTCAGAAGAGCTTCTAAAAAAAAAAAAAAGAAGAAGAGCTTCTAATAAAGCAGCCTTTCCGAAGCCTGGGTGAGGCCCATCCTGGTACCTGGAATCCTGGCTTCATAAGCTGGTGGAGAGGGTTGGGGAGGAAGGGGGACCTCCTTCCCCCTTCGAGAGCATATAGGGTCTGCTCTGAATACTGAGAAGGCCTTTGTGCAGGCGGCTGGGAAAGCCCGTTGGTCCGTGGTGGTGGTGACTTTGGGGGCATGGCTCTCAGTCCTATAAGGCCTTGGCTTCCTCCCAGAGCTGGGGCTGAGTCCAGCCCCTCTCCTGAAACCCAGGGAAGTCTGGCTCTGCCAGGGAGGGGGCACTGAAGTCCTCTCCTGCTGAGGGAGTGGGAGGGCTGTTTGCACAATCCCGACCCCTGTGTCTGTGCTGTACGAGTACCTCACACCTTCCTTAGTGTGAGGAGGCCCCAGACGTTCAGCTGCCATAGGCCTGGGTTCAGGGCACACCAGCCGACTCCCAGGCCAGTTGGTCCTTGCAGGTGTTGGGTCCACCTGGCCCTTGGGCCCTGGAGGGAGCTCTCTGGGTCTGGGACTCGTGGGGGTGGTGATGGCAGTGGGAGGAGGTCTGTGTGCCTTTGGGAGGGGGTAGGGTGAGGAGGTCCAGGGTCTAGCTCCATGGCGGGAGGCTTGGTGCCAGGTCCATGGGCTACGGCTCTGGATCCCTGGCAGGGGGAGGGGCATCTGGGTGTCGTCTGCTTGATAAGAACATCGGAGTGTCAGGGTGTCTGACATGAGGGTGTGTGTGTGTAAGTGTGGGGATGTTTTTGTGCTCTGTGTTGGGGATGTCTGTTCTTGGTGGGCAGCAGCACACATGATGGATAGTGGGGAGGTCTCTGTGCCTGGGAACGGGGATCGGGGGTGCTGGTGGTGCTGGTGGGTGGGTGGGGAGCAATCAAGAGAGCGTCAGTTTCTGGGGGAGGGGAAGTCGGTATTTGATCCCGTGGCTGATTCTCCTGCATTGGGGTGGAGGTAGAATTGGGGGCGTGGAAGATGTAGGCCACTGGTGTCCCACCAGCCATGGGTGAAAAGGTTCCCCACCAAAGGAGTCGGGAGAGCCAGGCCCTTCCCCTCCTGGCTAAATCTCCTCGGGTTTGCCCTTCTGACTTCCCTCCAGCCCCCCTCAGACCCCCCGCCCCCACAGCCTTCAGGATGTAGGGCTGTGGCACTAGGGGCAGGGCGGACCCCTCGGCGGGGAACACCTTCCCGGGCGGCCTGCCAGGGCCGAACACGGGGCTGGAGGTGCACGTGCGTGTGCACCAACGGGAGGTCTTCCGATTACACTGCGGATGACACGTTGTGAGCTTTATTGGCGACTCGGAGACGAAGCACGAGGTAGAGGGCGCCAAGGCAGTCACCGAAGATGTCCCCGTGGGGCTGCAGCCTCACCACTGCCAGGGGGTCGGGCTCCGAAGGCAGGCGAGGCTGGCGGGACAGCGTGGCCCCCGTGCCCCCGTCGTGGGCAGCCAAGGGGCCCCGGGGCGGGCTGGCTCTCAGGAGCCACCAGGGCGGGGAGACCAGGCGGGGAGACCCCAGGCCCGGCCGGCTGCGCGCGGAGCCCACATGCGGGAAGATGAGGCTGCAGGCGGGCAGGCCGGCGGCTCTCCAAGCCCTTCCGCTTCGGGCATGGGGGCCCGGCTGGAGGCAGGGGCCCTGGACTTGGGGGGCCATGTGCTTGCGAAGCCGGAGGTGCTACGTGAACCGCACCAAGGAGCTGCTGCTGCACCTCTGGCCGCAGGGCGCACAGGCCCGTGCTCACCGCCACGTTCCCGGTGCACAGGCTGGAACCCGACAGGCAGAGGGCCCCGCAGACGACCCCGTCCCGGGAGCTGCTGACGCCTGCAGGGGGGGAGCGGGGCTTAGTTTCCCCACCAGGTCATAGTGCGGCCCCTGCCTACTGGCCAGCGCCCCCTTCTCTTGCTCAGGGCTCCTCCCTCCACTTCTACGCCTCCCTTCCCCCCAGATCCCCACCCCGCCCTGTCCTGCACCCCTTCCTGCACTCTGGCCTCAAACATCCTCGATAAACTCCAGGTCTTCCCTATAGGCAGAAATAGCTATTTAACTTATAATCACTCACAGCCACCTCCCCCCACCCCCTTCCTTTCAGGGTTTCACAGTGTGGTCTGGGCTGGCCTCCTGTATTTGTAAATAAAATTTTATTGGAACCAAGCCATGTGTACTCTTTAGGAGTTGCTTGTGGCTGTGGCTTTCACATGACAGTGACAGAGCCCAGTAGTTGAGACAGGGTCTGGATGGCTCATAAAGCCTGAAAGAGTTACGATTTTGGTCCTTTAAGAAAACGTTCGCCCGCCAGGAACCCCAAGCCCTTCTTTCAGAACCCACAGCACAGATTACTTACAGACCTTTGCGGCACCAATGCCCTCACACAACCTTGTAGGGAGAGAGCAAAGAGACAAAAACTAGTTGGGGAGGACGATGCTTGCAAATTCCCTCCTCCACGGAAGCTTGATGCAAATCAGATGCAAATGATATGCAAATATGCACGCAGCTCAAAGCACAGGGTAGGGGAGATTGAAGAGCCTCTTCCCACACCTGTGGGCCTCACCTGTGCTCCTCGCCCTCCAGCAGCCGCCTGTAGGTGGCGATCTCGATGTCCAGGCCCAGCTTGGAGTTCATCACCTCCTGGTACTCCTTGAGCAGGCAGGCCATGTCCTGCTTGGCCTTCTGCAGGGCGGCCTCCAGCTCGGCCAGCTTGCAGCGGGCGTCGGTGAGGGACGAAGGAGGAAGTATGGGGGAGGGGGAGGTCGGTTGGATGCTTAACTGCAGGCCAGACAGATGATGTGAATGGAGGAAGGTTCTGGAAAGTGGGGAGGGTAAAGGCTGCGGGGAAGTGAAGCATGCAAGACCGGAAGTCATTTGCACTGACGACGGGCAATGGCCAGCACACACACAGTCTGCTGGCCAGAGAGGATGCCAGCACACAGGACCAGCCACCCCGCCCCACCCCAGAGTCCCATTGCTCATTTTAACTGGAGTTGAGACATTGCTTTGCTTTTTAGGCCTGGCGTCCTTCCAGCCAGCCTGAGGAGTGGGGCTGGGATTCCCTACTCGGGACGTCCAGAAACGGGGACTGCTGATGTTATATGTGCTCACTGCAGGTGGTCCTGGCTGACAGGGCTCATGTGGCAGGGGGTCTCTGGGCTGCCGTAGCCCCCCATCCTGCCTTTCCAAGCCACCGCCAGCTCCCACACTGCTCTGCTGTGGAGATCTCTGGGCCAAGCGGGGAAGCCACTGCCCAGGGTCACACAGCAGATCAGGGGAGACACTGGATGTGGAGTCCACACCGCCTGCTCCTGGGCCAGGACATCTTCCACGCTCGGCTCCCCGGCTGCCTTTCCCGGGTGTCACTGTCGGCACACTCAGGGTGCAGTGCCTGCTGAGAGGGACCGCCTGGGCCTGGAGTCCAGCTCTGCCACCCGCTCTCGGGGGTCCATGGGCAAACCCCCTGCCCTATACCCCTGTCTCCTATATCTTCTGTGTGCGGTCAAAGGGCTGGACTAGGGGCAGTGATTCTCCGGTGTGAAGCCTTTGCAGGCTGACTTCAGGATTTCCCATCCCCTTGTACTATTTTACTCGTGATTCGTCTATAGGTGGATTTGCTTCACATTTACACTTAAGTGGGGTTCAAGGGCTAACTTTATATTGAGAGCTGAAGAACCAGGGGCGAGGGGCATGGGGCGGGGGCATGGGGTGGGGGGCATGGGGCGGGGGTCATAGGCATACATAAAAGCAAGTCACACAACATTAAATTCTAGCTGAAACTGTCGTCCCCAGCAGCTCTGTACCTGAGGGTTGCTCTCTTTATTTTATTTTTATTTTTATTTTTGGTTGCTCTCTTTATTAAAAGTGGAAGAACAGCAAGTATTAGAGGGACACCGAAGACTACCAGCACCTAATTTTAGATTTAATCTTAAGGACTGAAACAAACGTGAGAAGACAGCAGTTTTCCCATCGGCTGTTTCAATGTTACTAATGCTTTCATGTACCACCTCAAATGGTCACTGAGCAGCATCATCAGCCTCCTTTCCCCATTTCTAGAGACTGACCGGGGACTTCCAAGGTTCTCCCCGGATGTCCAGGCTCACCGAGAGTGTGAGCGAGGACAACCCTCTTGTCTGTGGGGACCCTGCCTGTCTGGACCGAGGTTGTATATAATAATAGTGCCATCCGATCAGGAGCTGCTGCCCTGTGCTCATCTCTCTGTGTCTGTCTGTGCCCTGGACGTGCGTCCGTCTCCTCCATCATCAGACTAGGAGCTCCTCTGGGCCACATCTCTCCTGCCCCTGACTCCCTTCTCAGCCTGGGTCCTGAGCATGGGTGGGGCAGAGGAAGGGTGGGGTCGGGGACATCCACCCTTCGGGTGCCCCTGCGGTCCTCCTCCTATTCTTCTGTTGGGTCTGGCGACTACGTGCACGGACCACCCTGTGCCTCTGGCATGAGGGCTCCGAGCCCGTCCCCGTCTCTGTGCAGGGACCTGCCTGCCTGGACAGAGGTGCACGTTCGAGCCACACCATCCCACCGGGAGCCTGTGCCCTGTAGTCACGTCTTTGGTGCATCCGGGCCCTGAGCTGTGTCCATCTGGTCCATCAGACTGGGAGCTGCCCCGGGCCTGCCCTGTCCTGCCCCTGACCCCGCAGGAACTGAAGGCCCAGGAAGGGTGACCAGGGACACCCACCTTGTCAATGAAGGCGGCGAACATGCTGTTGAGGCACTTGATCTGCTCCTTCTCTTCGTGCTTGATGCACTGCGCGTTGGGGTCGATCTCCAGGTTGAGGGGCGTCAGGAGGCTCTTGTTGACCGACACGCTGGTGATGCAGGGCGGGCTGGGCCCGCAGAGGCCCCCGACCCGGTAGCCGAAGCTGCGGCCGCAGGAGCCGGCGCAGAGGGGGCGGCCGTGATGCAGCAGCGGGACCCGCAGGCCGCGGCACAGCTCAAAGTCCTGGGGCAGCTGTGGGTGCCGAGGCGGGAGGAGCAGGACATGGTGGGGGGCCGGGGGGGGGGCTGGAGCCCGAGGCCGCGCCGCCCCTTCTATGCCGCACAGGCCTTTACGGGGGGTCGGGGCGCCCCGGCCTCTTCCCCACCATCAAAGCAGCCCGGGCCATCACCGCCTCCATAAACTGGCTTCACGTCCCACCCACGCTTTATGGGCCCGGAGGCCTGGTCACCCCCGCGGGCCGTGCGCCGAGGACTGGGGCGCCCCCTCTGCGCCCCTCGGCGGGGACCCGGGTGGGCAGCCCCATCATGGGCTTGCCCCGGGGCAGCCACCCGCCTGCAGTTGGGGCAGCCTTGGTCCCGGTCCACCCGGAGGGGCTTGGGGCGGTGGGCATGGGGTGGGGGCTTGGGGCATGGACCGGAGTGCTTGGACGGGGAGGCATGGGGCGGGGGGCATGGGGCAGGGGGCTTGGAGCGGGGGACATGGGGCAGGGGGCTTAGGGCAGGGACAGAGGGCAGGGGGCATGGGGCATGGGGCGGGGGGCATGGGGCAGGGGAAGGGGGCAGGGGCATGGGGCGGGGGGCTTGGAGCGGGGGGCATGGGACTGGGGGTATGGGGCTGGGGGCATGGGGCATGGGTCGGGGGACTTGGAACGGGGGGTATGGGGCTGGGGGCATGGGGCATGGGCCGGGGTGCTTGTAGTAGGGGGCATGGGGCATGGTGCAGGGGGCTTGGAGCGGGAGGCATGCGGCGGGGGGCTTGTGGCAGAGAGCATGTGGCATGGGGCATGGGGCGGGGTGGGGGCGAGCGTGCGCGCCCATGTGTGTCCAAAGGTGGGGTGTGGGCCGAGGGTCTCTGAAGTCAGTCCTGCAGATTCGTGTCTTGACCTTGGACGAATGAATAACCTTTCCGAGCCTCAGTTTCCTCACGTGCAAAGTAGGAAGAGGAAAGAGTCCCCACCTGCAAGCTGTTGGCAGGACCTCAGGACACAATGGCAGGGAAGCACTAAGGCCCTACCTAGCCCTGAGCACGCCGCATCTTAGCCGACAGGCCCAGGCCGAGAAGCCGCACCGGCACTTGGTAGGAGCTCCGGAAATGTTTGTTTGCTCTATTTATTCTACTACTGTTAATTGGCCATTCATCCCTGTCTCCCTTTGGGCGACAACTTTCTCTTCTCTCTTCCTCAGAACTCAGCTCACAGCTCCTTTCCTTGTAAGTGTTGTGCCGGGAGCCCCCCTCCCAGGCGGAAATTGCACCCCGCACCCCTCTCCACTCTCCCAGGGGAGGGGAGGGCCGCTGCAGTAGGAGGCGCCTGCCCCGTGTGGGGGCCCTATGACGAACACATTATCTTATCTTTACCCTCAGGGCATCTTCGCAGGTCCCTGTTGTGCCCATTTACCTGACTGGGAATGTGAGCTCAGAGCGACCCAGCGACTTGTTTAAGATCAAGGGGCAGAAAACTCTGTGCAGGAGTGGATTCAGAGTCTGAAAGGAGGCTCCCAGCCCTCCCCACGCCGGCCCCTCCGAGGCCCTGAGTCTTTGGGAGGCTCAATGAGGGTTGAGCCTCCCTCCTAGGCAAGAGCCCAGACTGCTAGGCTTTGGGGTCCTAGAAGAATAGGCCCGATCCAAAGCCTTCTCCTCAACTGGTGCTCGGTCATGGCCACCAACCCTAGAAGGCCATCATCCACGATAATGGAAGTTAATTATATGTCCAGTTATGGGCAGAGGAAACTAGAATGTGAACTCAGCAGGCAGCATGAAAGAAAAACATGCAAATCACCCTTAGCTTCCTTTGCTTTTAAATATAAGTTGTTATTATGCAAAGGGTAATTAAGTTCTGGAAGTCCAGAAGTCATCATGGCCAGCTCTGCCTGGCAACCCGTTTCCAGAGCCTGCCCCTCGGCCCCCTCTGCTGTCTTTCCCAACACTCTTGTGGGCCTGAAGCCTTTTGGCCTGGCCTGGACTTTGCAGCGGCTTCAGCCCAACATTAGTGCTGTCGTCTGTGGAAGGGGGAGTCCAATTCCATGGTGTCTGGTCCTTCCACTCCCAGCTTCAGCTGGGACCGCCGGTGGTGTTACTGATGGCTTCAGGACCAGATGTTTCTACTCTACTTCTCTCCAGGGAACAATAGTAATGGAGAAGTCTTCCTTTGGTGTCTCCCTCACTAGAAGGAGTGGCGTTGCCCTGACGCCTGGAGGATTTAAATTAGACTTACGGAGGCTCTTAAGTGATGCTCGCTTGGACGTCTTTCAGGGTTTTGGTGGGTGTATGGAGCTGACTTTTCTGCAAGTGTCCCCAGAGGGAGCCCTTTGAAGGAGACTGTCTGGAGAGTGTGGCCTCGAACTTGTGGTTTGGTTGAGGGAGAGACCATGTCAGGTGGGGTGAGAAGTCCTGAAAGCACTCGGGAAGGGGTGGAGGTGAATGTGGGTTTTGGGCATCCTGGTATTTGGATCCCTCCCACCATGTCCACAGACATGGGTTCTGCGGCATGAAGTAGCTGAACAAATAAGCTTTTGGTTGTGTGGTTGACTTTGCCAGGCCTTGGTGGGGCCCTGCCAAGGGTCCAGTGTCATCAGTTGCCTTGAAAACTTGTCCTCTGAGGCCTTGCCCGTTCTTCCCTCAAAACTGCCAGGGTCCCCCGAAAGAAGCCATCCTGACCTAGATTCCTTTCCCCTCCTGAATTATCTAAGTGCTGAGTCCACAGGCTTTGGCTGACCTTGACTCTTTGGACCCCTCAGGCCCTCAACTGTGGAAGAAATACTTTCAAGGCTTCAGAGTTGCCTGAGTGTAGGATTTTCCAAAGCCCCATCTCGACAGCGTTACCCCAGGACAGAGGAGAAACGGCTGTGGAATCCCCCGAAACCAAGAAAGTGACAACATGGCCATTTTATATGGCGAGGCGGGCGGAGCCGGGTGTTTGGGTTTCTAAGAGGAGGGGCAGTGAAGGGGGAGTCAGCATCCTCTTCTCTGGCTTATCTCTTCCAGCCTAGCTCACCACTACCTGTGGATCATCTTGCTTTAGCTCCCCTAGTGGAGTCCTCAAATCGGGCTCCGGCTCTGTACGACCCACTCAGAGCTGCAGCTCTAGGGCACCTGGGGACTCAGTGGTTGAGCCTCTTCCTTTGGCTCAGGTGGTGATCCTGGGGTCCTGGGAGGAAGTCCCACATCGGGCTCCCTGCAGGGATCCTGCTTCTCTCTCTGCCTCTCTCTCTGTGTCTCTCATGAATAAATAAATAAAATCTTAAAAAAAAAAAAGATGCAGCTCTGCTGTGCCTTCAGCCGCCCCTCGGCCTGCGGCCCTGCCTGTCACCGCCGTCCCCTGCCCTAACCATGTGCAGGAGGGACTGCAGGGCTTCAGGAAGTGAGCGGGTGGGGAAGGTCTGTTTTCTCAGAAGGGGTTACATGATCTGGCAACTGGGAGCCACTGAAGTCTCCAAACCAGCCTTGGAAACTTCTTCCTTTGTTTTTATTTTTTATTTTATTTATTTATTTATTTATTTATTTATTTATTTATTTATTTATTTATTTTTAAACTTCTTCCTTTCTTAACCTACCCTGTGCTTTTATCAGCATTAGAGGTAGTGACCGGCAGACACAGGAAGGGAGGAGAGGCTGAGTTACCGGCTCAGAGCCTTTCCCCATTGCATTATGAGCTCAGGAGAGGGGCCCTATCCCTGCTCACCCACCCATCCTGTAGACCTGTCCAGAGCACTTACTCTATTCTAACAATGTGCTGGCGACTAGGGGTGCAAAGAAATGACCCTGCCTCTGCTCCACCTGTTCACACTCACTGGATCACGCTGCTGATTCCACCCACCTTCCCAGATCTAAGCTCAATCAATTTATTATATTAGAGTAATAAAAAATCAAGATCTTTAAAATGAGTAATGTGCTTATTTAAGTTAGAGAAACGTACTATGGGGGATGTGGGTGAGAGGGGAGGGATATGTCAGACATCCGGGGGAGGGGCGGGATGGTCTCTCCCTTCCGTTACCAGCCAAGTGTCTGATCATTTCTCTTGTTCCAAATCCCTTTCCCTGTGGAGGTATGACGAAGAGGTCACTTTGGGGAGTGAGCTTGTCGGGATCAAGCAGGTGAGTGGGTCTGCCTGTGGCCGACCTCAGGGGCATCCAGTACTCCTTCCTTTGGCTAATACATTCATATTTTATTTCCTTCCGAGGAAAGGCATTTTCCTCCTCACACCCCGGGAGATCCCCAGAGATCTTCCTTTACAGAGAGGCCCAGAGAGGTAAAAAGAACTCCCTAAAGTCTCATACTATGTTTCGCTAGAGTGGAAGGGAGAGCTTAGTTCTCCAACCTTCAACATCTGGATCGATGCCTATGACCTGCTTTGCAAAACAGGCTCTGGGAACTGGTTCCAGAGCACAACTGGTTAGAAAGCAGGAGAAAAGGAGGCCTCAACCTGAGATGGCAAGTAGAAAGATATTTTTATTGCATCAGAGAGATGAAAAAGCTGTGGCTCTGGGAGACTGGTCGCGATCATACAGCCCAGGAGTGCAGATGGGAGGCAGTCCGGTGCTGGATTCCTGGGGACAAGTAGGGATCTCTGGTCCTACTGATTTTGGCAGGTCTCACTTCCCAGAGGAACCTGGGAGAGCCTGCCCCTTATGTTCTTTTGGGAAAAGGTGGGGAGTTGCTGACCCACTGGGGATACTGTACCCCCCAGACCTTCTGGTCTGACCTTCTGGGGAATCTTGAGTGATTCCTTGGGTGACTGGGTTCAGAGCTGGAGACCATGTTATTTCTGGGACCACTGTCAGGAACTGGTACCCAGGCCTAGGGCCGACCTTGTCTCTCCTGCATCAGGCTGTGTGAAGGCAGCAGAGCTGTGATTCTGGCCCTGAAGGGAGACGCTGCAGTTAGACAGTGGGAAGAATGTTTTAGCTTTGAGGGTGGAGAGACCCAGGGAGAAGGGGTTTCCTTCATTTTCTGCTACACAGTGACGAAGAGGGAGCTGAATGACAGGTCGCGAGTGGAATAGTCTTCACGCCACACCTGTTGGAGTGGGAGTTTTCCCTTCCCATGGTTAGGAAGCTCATATTTTCTCCCTGTCCAAGCAAACTTGTCCACGTTCCAGATGTCAAATACTTTCCTGGACTAAAGCAGCTGTCTCATCAGCTTGGTCGTTCCCAGGGAGGTCTTCCTGAAATCAGTTACGGAAGAATAGATTAAGAAGGGATTGAGATTCAACCATAAGATGGACTCCCTTCCAGTAAAGGGTGGGAGTCCAGAGGACAAGCCACAAGGAAGCTCATGTTGGCTTTCCTTATCATGGGAGATGTGGATGAGCAGGAGCCCTCCTGTCCACCTGGGCGCTCTTGGTGGGTAGGGAGGGGGTTTTGGTTGATGAGGGGATGGATGCTGTTTGGAACCAGCTCCCCACCCCTGCCAAAGTTTCGGACTTATTATTACCCCCGTGCAGGTGTGAGCAGCTCTCTGGTGGAGTTGTATGTGGGGGCCTCTCAGTCACCTGT